GTCTCACTCTGTCGCCCAGGCTGGAGTGCAGTGGCGCGATCTCGGCTCACTGCAAGCTCTGCCTCCCGGGTTCATGCCTCAGCCCCCTGAGTAACTGGGACTACAGGTGCCCGCCACCACGCCCGGCTAATTTTTTGTATTTTTAGTAGAGACAGGGTTTCACCGTGTTAGCCAGGATGGTCTCTATCTCCTGACTTCATGGTCTGCTCGCCTCGGCCTCCTAAAGTGCTGGGATTACAGGCGTGAGCCACCGCGCCCTGGCAGAACTTGCTCTATTTCTAATCATGGCAAGTGGGTGATGAACTCTTTCTCCTCTTCTCCCCATACTCAGCTTCGCTGAGGAGATCTGCCCTTTTTCTCAGTGTGAGAAGGCTTGCCCTGGCCAGAACATGTCCTGGCCCTGAGAGGGAGCTACTGTGGGTGGGCCTCTCCCTTTCTCTAGCTCCTCCATTGTCTTCACCTTTGGTGCCCCTTCCACATACCTGGGGCCTAGAACGAGTGCATTTAATGGGCCAGTTGCCTCTATACAGGTGCTTAGTTGTTGCATATAAATAGCTGAGATCAGAGGCCTGCAGGTCTCCTGAACCCCCAGCCTTGGAGTAGAGCCCTCAGCCAGCCTTCTCACTCCTCCACTCGGTGGTCAGCTTTGCAAGCATTCTGGCCTCCATTACCCCTTCCCCTTGCTGCCTTTCCCCACTTCACTTCTTGAAGGAATTGTTGTGCTGCAGCTATGTTGACCACACATTTGGTTCTTCACTTCATACTCTGGGTTCCATCTCTCTTCCTGCTTTCCTGCTGTTTTGAATGCCAGTCAGCAAGGTCTGATCCACTTCCGACGGCCTTTCCCCTTGGACGCCCTGTGCTCTTTCACTGAATCACCACGTTCCTGATGGCTCTTCTGCTTTTCGGCATGTTTCTCATCTGTCACTTCCACCGTTCCTTGGCCATTGCTTTCTCCAAGGTTCTTTTTTCTCCCTTTTGTTGACCTTACCCAGTCTCGTGATGACAGGTGGCATCACTTTGCAGGTACCCCTCACCTTTGCCCTTTTTGTGCCCCCAGCCTTGTTCTCCTCCTCTTCCTCCCCCTCCCATGCTACTCCCCTTCCTCCCCCTCCCCTACTCCTCTTTGTCTCTCTTGGCTTTCTGGCACTCCCACATCCCAGCTCATCACCCCTGGGTGCTATCTTTGACACCCTCCACCCGCTTACAGTTGCCAGAACCTCTCCATTCTGTTTGCTCTGAATTCCCCCAAGCTTTTCTACCTTTGCCAGGTGCTTGCTGCCCATCTCTTAGGTCACCTGGCCTGCACTTTGCCCTTTGTAAGGTTGTCCTCTTTAGGCAAAGGTTAGAAACTTCTGTTCAGAAATCTCCAATAGCTCTCTCCACGCTCCTCTTTCTATCTTTCTACTTTGTTTCCCAGTGCTCACCTGTTGTTTTGGGACCTTTCTTCTGGCCACACTGGATGCTGTCTGGTTTCTGTGCTTTTCCATGCGCTGTGCTTTCGCACATTGCTAATTTGTCGGCTTGGAATACTCCTCTCTTCCCCTAACTCTGCAGGACTAAATTTTATTTACTTGCCAAAGCCCAACCCAGAAACCTCCTCCTTCCTTAGTTCCCACAGCTGGAGAGAATCTCCCTGGCCCAAAGACCCCAGAGCACACTACTTTCTGTCTGAGGCACAGAGGACTTTGCCAGGTCAGTTATTTCAGAGTGTACCCTTCCCCATGCCCTGCTAAACTGCAGGTTTTTATTTTTAATTAATTAGTTGTTTATTATAAATAAGGTATACAAGAAGACTTTTTTTTTTTTTTGAGGTGATCTCACTTTGTTACCCAGGCTGGATCACAGTGGGGCGATGATTGCTCGTTATAACGTCAAACTCGTGGATTCAAGTGATCTTCCCACCTCAGACTCCTGAGTAGTTGGGACTACAGGCATGCGCCACCATGCCTCACTCTTTGTTTGTTTTTTTGTTTTAAGAGGTTAGGAGGTTGTGGAAAGGAAAAAGGCTAAAAAAAAAAAAAAAAAAAGGGACAGAGATCGTGGTCTCACTGTGTTGCCTAGGCTGATCTCAAACTCCTGGCCTGAAGCAATCCTCCTGCCTCGGCCTCCCAAATCACTGGGATTACAGGCATTAGCCACAGTGCCTGGTCCAGTATGCTGCTTTGATAAACATAGTAGGTTGTTTACTACAGTCAAGTGAATTAATATATTCATCTTCTCATATAGTTTACCTTTTTAAAAATGATAACACCTGAATCTACTCCGTTGACAAATTTCCAGCATATAAAACAATATTATGAACTATAGTCATCATGCTGTACTTCAGGTCTCTAGACTTATTCATCCTACATAACTATAGCTTTGTATCCCCCCATTCTGCCCCTTCCCTGCTCCCATGCCCTAGTCACCACCGTTTTCTGTTTCTGCATTTTGACTTTAGAGTCTACATATACGTAAGATCATGTAGTATTTGTCTTTGTATGTCTGGCTTATTTTATATATCATAATGTCTAGATTTACCCATGTTGTTGCAAATGGCAGGATCTCTTTTTAAAGGCTGAACAGTGTTCCAACATATATACAATGTATACCACAATCTCTTTATCCAGTTGTCAGTGACACTTAGGTTATTTCAATATTTTGCCTATTGTGAATAATGCTCCAATGAACATGGAAGCGCAGATATCTGTTTGACATACTGATTTTGTTTTCTTTGGGTAGATAACCAGAGTGGGATTGCTGGGTGATATGGTAGTTCTATTTTTAATTTTTTGAGGAACTTCCATACTGTTTTCCATAATGGCTATACCAAGTGTACAGTCCTGCTATCAGTATACAAGGGTTCCCTTTTTTCCACCTTCTTGCCAACATTTATCGCTCTTTTTGATAGCAGCCATTCTAACAGGTATGAGGTGATTTCTCATGATTTTGATTTGTATTTCCCTGATGTTCAGTGATGTTGAGCACCTTTGCATATATCTGTTGGCCATTTTTATTTCTTCTTTGGAGATGTGTCTATTCATGCTTTTTGCCCGTTAAAAAATTTTTTTTTTTTGCTATTGAGTTGTGTGATTTCCTTATATATTTTAGATATTAATCTCATTGAATATATGATTTGTAAATATTTTCTCCCAATTCATAGACTACCTTTTCTTTTTCATTTTCTTTTTTTTTTTTTTTTTTTGAGACAGGGTCTCAGTTTGTCACCCAGAGTGAGTGGTGTAGAATGCTGTGGTGTGGTCCCAGCTCACTGCAGCCTCGACCTCCCAGGCTCAGATGATCCTCCCACTTCATATCTTGAGCAGTTGGGACTATAGGTGTGTGCCACCATGCCCCATTAATTTTTGTATATTTTGTTAAAAAAAAAAAAAAAAAGATTTTGCCGTGTTGCCCAGGTGGGTCTTAAACTCCTGGGCTTAAGCTATCTACTCACCTGACCTCGCAAAGTATTGGGAATACAGGCGTGAGCCACCGTGCCTGGCACATAGGCTACCTTTTTATTTTGCTGAGTGTTTCCTTTACTGTACAGAAGCTTTTTAGTTGGATGTAATCCCACTTGCTTATTTTTGCTTTTGTTCCCTGAGCTTTTGGTGTGATATCAAAAAAATCATTGCCAAGGCCCATGTCAAGGAACTTATTCCCTATCTTTTCTTCTAGGAGTTATATACTGTCAGGTCTTACATTTAAGTCTTTAATTCATTTTGAGTTGATTTTTTGTGTATGGTATAAGATAAGGAGCCAGTTTTATTTCCTTGCATGTGAATATCTACTTTCCCCAACACTATTTATTCAAGGAGCTATCCTTTCCCCATGGTGTTTTCTTGGTACCTGTGTCATAAATTAGTTGACTTGTGTATGCTTAGGTTTACTTCTGGACTCTCTTTTCTGTTCTATGTGTCTATTTTTATGCCAGTACTGTGCTGTTTTGATTTCTGTAGCTTGAAATCAGAAAGTATGATGCTTACAACTTTGTTCTTTCTCGTTGCTTTGGTTTTTCAGGGTGTTTTGTGATTCCAGACAAATTGTAGAATTTTTTTTAAAATTTCTGTGAAAAATGCCATTGGAATTTTGATAGGGATTGCATTGAATCTGTAGATTGCTTTAGGTAGTATGGACATTTCAACAATATTAATTCTTTTAATATATGAACGTGGTATATCTTTCCATATATTTATTTGTGTCTTCTTTAATGTCTTTCATTAATGTTTTACAGTTTTCAGTATACAGATCTTTTATCTCCTTAAATTTATTCCCAAGCGTTTTATTCTAAAGTGTGTGTGTGTCTGTGTGTGTGTGGGGGGGGGGGGGGCGGTTCTTTAGGGCTTTCTGCATATAGGATCATGTCACCTGAAATTGGGATAATTTTCTTTCTTTCTAGTTTGAATGCCTTTTATTTCTTTTTCTTGTCTGATTGCTCTGGTTTAGACTTCTAGTACTGTGTTAACTAGAAGTGGTGAGCAGGATTGTGGTGGGGGTTTGCAGTTTTGTCCTGCAGTGGGGTGCTGGGCTTAAACACCAAATGAGTGGCTGGTAGAAGAGGAACTGGGACGTCTGAGGCCCTTTGGCAGAGGACTGGGGCCAAGAAATGCAGCTATCAGGGGATAACTAGAAGATAGCATTGGGAACAGACATAGACACAAGGTGCATATAGATCAGATTTTGAGAGGACTCGTTCCAGTACTTGGAACCACTTTTAAAAACACTGTAGTAACTGGCTACCTGTAGGTCATTTCTGTGTTAATTTAAAATGTTTTTCTTTTACATTAAAGTGAATATTCAAAGACTTTTGACTGAATTTGTTGGCCTTCTGCAGGTCACTTTGTATATCGAAAGCAGCTAAATGACTTAAAGTCTAAACTTTAGACTAGGTTTTATTCAGTTCATTCAGTTTATTTTTTTTTCTTCAGTGTTCTAGAGGAAATTGCCAATTTAGAACTGGTGATTTTATGTGGAGTAATCGACTAATATTAATAATAATAATTTCTTTGTTTCTACAGAGGTTGCAGAACTTGAAGCTAATTTACCTTGTAAGTATAGCATCCCCAAATGCTAAGTACTGTGAAATAATTGCATGAAGAAAACTTTTTATGTCTTAATAACCTTGTATAGTAAAAAGCCTATTTTTCATGTACGTTAGGAATGAATTTTAATTTTCTGTGAAAAGGTAGGATTTTTTCAAATACCTAATAAGAACAAGGTAGGCCAGGCATGGTGGCTCATGCCACTAATCTCAGCACTTTGGGAGGTGGAGGCAGCTGGATCACTTGAGGTCAGGAGTTCGAGAACAGCCTGGCCAACATGGTGAAACCCTGTCTCTACTGAAAATACAAAAATTAGCTGAGCATGGTGGTGCATGCCTGTAGTCCCAGCTACTTGGGAGGCTGAGGCACTAGAGTCGCTTGAACCCAAGAGGCGGAGGTTGCAGTGAGCCAAGATGGCGCTGTTGCACTCCAGCCTGGGTGACAGAACGAGACTCTGTCTTAAAAAAAAAAAAAAAAGAAGAGCAAGGTTCTGCCATCTTTTTGAGTGCTTTCTATCTCTCCTTAGCATAGCAGAGGTGCATTTGGTTAGGTTTTTGCCTCTTACACATGCATTCTGTCCCACATCCACTTTGAGTGAAAAAGTATATAAATCAATAATAGTTCCATTTTTGTTAGGGATGATACCAGTTTTTTGGCAAAGTGCTTATTTGTAACTCGTCTGCATGTTTGAGGGGTGGCTGCACTGCCTTGCTGTCAGTGGATGTCCATCTTGCTTGATTGTTTCTGCCCTAGACACACAAGGTCAGCATGCAGTCTTCACTCATGAGCACGGTACGTTTGGAAAGCCCATTTATCAGGCAGTTCACTTTTGTAATATATGTCATATTTTTTTTTCCCTATCATTAATCTTCTTCCAAACCCTTGATTATTTCAAAAGATCATTAAAGCCTGAAAGATTTGATCATTTTAGTATTTTTTTAATTACAACTTTTTGTCATCATACTTCCTTTAAAATTCTGAGGCTGAGGATGTCTGTGGATGATGGTGAAGCATTTTATAAGTGGGTCTGCTGGTTTGGGTGAGTGCTAGAGAGAACTTAGGGTTGAATGTGGAGGTATCTCTGACATGGGGCAGGGCAGAGCCCATTCCAGTCTCCATCTGAAGTTGGAAAGATAATGGTGGGTTGCAACCTCTACATGGTTGTGAAATCAGTTTGAGAGGGTAAGTATGTAATGTTTCTTAAAAAATTATTATTATTTTCAAGACAGAGTCTCACTCGGTCACCCAGGCTGGAGTCTGCTTCCTAGGTTCAAGCAATTCTTGTGTCTCAGCCTCCCGAGTAGCTGGGACCACAGGCACGCACCACCATGCCAGGCTAATTTTTGTATTTTTAGCACAGATGGGTTTTTGCCATGTTGGGCAGGCTGGTCTCAAACTCCTGGGCTCAAGTGATCTGCCTGCCTCGGCCTCCCAAAGTGCTGGGATTATAGGCATGAGCCACCGCTCCCAGCCAAAAGATTATTTTCAACATGAAACTTATGGGTAGGTATAGTGAGTTGTGGTATAAAATATGTTTCTTACTATGGATCTCAGTTGAAGGTGTTTTGAAAGACATTGGATTGCTTGACCTCAAAGTTTTCTTCAACTCAGAAATGAGGCAATATCTTGAGATTCTGTTAAAAGGTTATCTTTTTGGCTGGGTGCAATGGCTCACGCCTATATTCCTAGCACTTTGAGAGGCTGAAATGAGTGGATCATTTGAGGTCAGGAGTTTGAGACCAGGTTGGCCAACATGATGAAACCCTGTCTCACCGGGCGCGGTGGCTTACGCCTGTAATCCCAGCACTGTGGGAGGCCGAGACGGGCGGATCACGAGGTCAGGAGATCGAGACCATCCTGGCTAACACGGTGAAACCCCGTCTCTACTAAAAAATACAAAAAACTAGCCGGGTGAGGTGGCTGGCGCCTATAGTCCCAGCTACTCAGGAGGCTGAGGCAGGCTGAGGCAGGAGAAACCCGGGAGGCGGAGCTTGCAGTGAGCTGAGATCCGGCCACTGCACTCCAGCTCGGGCGACAGAGCGAGACTCCGTCTCAAAAAAAAAAAAAAAAAAAAAAAAAAAAAAAACCTGTCTCTACTAAAAGTACAAATTTAGCTGGTTGTGGTGGTGTGCACCTGTAATCCCAGCTGCTTGGGAGGCTGAGGCAAGAGAATTGCTTGAACCCAGGAGGTGGAGGTTGCAGTGAGCTGAGGTTACGCCACTGCACTCCAGCGTGGGCAACGGAGTGAGACTGTCTCAAAAAAAAAAAAACAAAAACCACAAAACACAAAAAGGTTATCTTTCTACCCACTGAAATATTTACAGATGAAGTGGTTTGCTTTAAAATGCTACAGGAAGACAAACAAGTAACTGTGGGGGGGCAGGATAGACAAGCAAGATTGGCAGAATGTTGAAGCTGGGGGATGGGTTCATTATACTCTTCTCTTTTATTAGGACATTTGCCTCATAAAAATAAAATAACTCCTCTGCTTTCCACTCCCATCTTATCTTCCCACAGACCCCCAGCTTGAGCCTGTATGTATATGTAAACTTTTTTTTTTTGTTTTTTTTTATAGACAGGATCTCTCTTTGTTGCCCAAGTTGGAGTACAATGACATGAGTGTGGCTCACTGCAGCCTCAACCTCCTGGGCTCAAGTGATCTTCCCACCTCAGCCTCCTGAGCAGCTGAGACTTCAGACCTTAAGTGCATGCTACTACACCTAGCTAATTTTTTTAAATTATTATTATTTTTTTTGTAGAGATGGAGTCTCCTGTGTTGCCCAGGCTGATCTCAAACTCCTGGGCTCAAGTGATCCTCCCACCTTGGCCTCCCAAAGTGCTGAGATTACAGGCACGAGCCACTGTGCATGGCCAACACATACAGACATTTAATCAAAATCACAGAAAAGGTCTCACTTATAAATGGTTCATTCATCCTTGATATGTATCTTACAGAGATTGTTGATTTTTAACCCATAGAGTGTACTTTAAAAACAAGAAAATTTATGACTGGCTTTCAAATCAGGATTGTAACTGCATACCTTAGGTTTGAAAGAACCATGGCACATCTTCCTAGCCCTGTGGCTATGGTGTCAGATAAAAAGACAGCATGTTCTCTGCCTCTTCTTTCGTTCTTTCTCCCTACCTTCTCTCCTAATCAAAGTGGGGGGAAATTATATCATTTTAAAAGCCATGCTTTCCAAAAGTATGTCTCATTATTCTAAAGAGAAAACAAGAAGCCACCAATGCATAGCCCTTCACTATCTGTTTAATTATCTTTCTAACATATTTACAAAGGCTAACAAAATAACTTGCCTTGTATCAGTACCACTTAGTAACTATTCATAACTAGTTTAGAGCTCTGTACATGCAAGTTTGTAGAGGTTTCTCTGCAAAAAGATTTAAAATGTTTCTTCCAGATAGACTGAAATATTATTAGAGGCTTAGATAGTGCATGCCTACATGTAGATAAAAAGCTTAATTCTAGTGAATTGAACCAGAACAAAAACCTGACTGTTAACATTTTTTTTTTAAACTTAACCTTTCTTTTCTCTCTTTTTTTTTGAGATGGAGTCTTGCTCTGTCACCCAGGCTGGAATGCAGTGGTGCGATCTCGACTCACTGCGACCTCCACTTCCTGGATTCAAGTGACTCTCCTGCCTCAGCCTCCTGAGTAGCTGGGATTAGAGATGCCTGCTACCACGCCTAGCCAATTTTTGTATTTTTAGTGGAGACGGGGTTTTGCCAGAATTACAGGCATGAGCCACTGCATCTGGCATAGTTTTATTGCTTTTTAATCCACTTTGATAATTTCTTTTTTTTTTTTTTTTTTTTTTTTGAGACAGAGTCACGCTCTTTCACCCGGGCTGGAGTGAAGTGGCGCAATCGTGGCTCACTGCAACGTCTGTCCCCCAGGTTCAAGCAATTCTCCCACCTCAGCCTCCTGAGTAACTGGGATTACAGGCATGCGCCATCACTCCTGGCTAATTTTTTGTATTTTTAGTAGAGAAGGGGTTTTTACCATGTTGGCCAGGCTGGGCTTGAACTCCTAACCTCAGGTGATCCAACTGCCTTGGCCTCCCAAAGTGCTAGGATTACAGGCATGAGCCATCGCGCCCGGCGGATAATTTCTTTATTCTTGGTGGGCCAGCTTTTTTGGAGCCATTGATTTCCTCATCTGTCTATTAAAACAAAGGAGAATGCTAGATATTAAAAACAAATACATGATGCCAACTTCTGTTAATCATCGAAACATGACTAACATGATTAACATCCCAAGTCATAATCATATGTTTTTGTTACTTAGAACTCACTAGAAGGATGGCATTTATCTTTGCAAGTTAAGATTAGGAAGAATAAAGCCCATTTTAAGTATTTCACACATAGTTCTCAATGTGTAATTTTGGAGAAAGTCTTGAACTCTTTGGCTCCAGTTTCTTTATTTCTAAAGTAAGGACTGTGACATTGTCATCTCTAAGACTGCTCTTTGCTTTGCTTTGCTTTTTTTTTTTGAGACGGAGTCTCGTTCGTTGCCCAGGCTAGAGTGCAGTGGCGTGATCTCAGCTCATTGCAAGCTCTGCTGCCGGGTTCACGCCATTCTCCTGCCTCAGCCTCCCGAGTAGCTGGGACTACAGGTGCCCGCCACTACGCCCGGCTAATTTTTTATATTTTTAGTAGAGACGGGGTTTCACCGTGTTAGTTAACCAGGATAGTCTCCATCTCCTGACCTCATGATCCACCTGCCTCGGCCTCCCAAAGTGCTGGGATTACAGGCATGAGCCACCGCGCCCGGCCTGCTTCTTGCTTTTCTAGGCAGTTTCACTCTGGAAAGGAAACCCCACTAACAGTCCTGTGTTATTTGTTGTTTGTATGTACAGGTGTCCCATGTCTTAACATGTTCATTACGTACTGAAAGGAAATGAGGCATGCAGTAGGAGAAGGAGTCATGAACTGGTTATTAATGTAGGAATTAACCTTGCTTCTGTTGATAACCTGTATGATCTTGGGCTAGTCACCAAACCTCTCTGGACCTTCTACTTATGTCTCCTAGTTGAGGACGTTGGACTAGATCGTCTCTAAGGTCACCTCTGATAGAAATTTGAATTGTCCTGTTTTCGATAAAAATTTTTATCATTGTCAAACTAAGCAAATACTTTTGGTGGAACTTGTAAGATAACTTTAAAAAAACTTTAAAAAAGTCTTCTAAAAAAACTTTAAAAACTTAAAAAGACAAAATTCATAGTAAACTCTGGGTGGGAGCTAACTCCTGGGCAGCACTCTTTTTTTTTTTTTTTTTTAAGATGGAGTCTCGCTTTGTTGCCCAGGCTGGAGTGCAGTGGCATGATCTCAGCTCATGGCAACCTCCGCCTCCCAGGTTCAGGCAATTCTCCTGCCTCAGCCTCCCAAGTAGCTGGGACTACAGGCACCTACCACCTTGCCCGGCTAATTTTTGTATTTTTAGGTGAGACGGGGTTTCACCTTGTTGGCCAGGCTGGTCTCGAACTACTGACCTCATGAACCGCCCACCTTGGCCTCCCAAAGTTCTGGGATTATAGGCGTGAGCCACCACGCCTGGCCAACACTCTTTTTAACTTCCATTTGCCGTGGTGACTATGAATGTCTATGGTACTAGGAGAACGGAGTAGAAATTTGACCTGGGTTGTTTCCTGGTTTTTCCATGTTTAGTTCACCACCAGTGGTGAACTGAGAAGTTTAGCATAGGCCTGGTGTGGTAGCCCACACCTGTAATCCTAGCACTTTCAGAGGCCAAGGTGAGTGGATCACTTGAGCAAGGGAGTTCGAGACTAGCCTGGGTAACATGGCAAAAACCTGTCTCCACAAAAGATACAAAAATTAGCCAGGTGTGGTGGTGTGCACCTGTAGTCCCTGCTACTCAGGAGGCTGAGGTGGGAGGATCACCTGAGCCTTGGAGGCAAAGGTTGCGGTGAGCTGGAATCATGCCACTGTCCTCCAGCCCAGGCAACAGAGTAAGACCCTGTCTAAAAAAAAAGTTTAGCGTAGTATTTTCTGATTTTATAGATGTAGAAAATTTCTATATATATTCCTTCCAGATTCCTTGGGTATTTTTTCCATGGGTAATTAGCCATGTGCCATTTGTTTGAACGAGACGGGTGGGGTGCAGTCAACTTCCCTGGCCTGCACCAGCAGCCAGTAGCCCCTCTCCCAGGGGAACATTTTGTCCTGATTTAGGCCTCTTGTGACTTGGACCAGTGGGCACAGAACATTGCCATCTGGGTCAGTAGAGCATTATTTTACCAACAAAGCAAGATGCTTTACCACTTAGGTAGTAAAGGTATTTTTTAAAAAGACAGAATATCATGGTAAACTCTGGCTGGTGGGAGCTAAGTCCCGTGCACACTCTTCTTTTTTTTTTTTTTTTTTGAAATGGGGTTTCGCTCTCATTGCCCAAGCTGGAGTGCAATGGCGCGATCTCTGCTCACTGCAACCTCCGTCTCCCCCGTTCAAGTGGTTCTCCTGCCTCAGCCTCCCAAGTAGCTGGGATTACAGGCATAAGCCACCACGCCCAGCCAGCACCCTTCTTTATAAAGAACTTCCATTTACCATGGTGACTGAATGTCTGTGGTGCCAGGGGAACAGAGTTGACCTGGGCTCCTTCCTGGTTTTTTCGTGTTTAGTTAGCCTTTGCCTGCATATATTAATCTCCCTGAGATATGGTTTCTTCTTGTCAAAGTACAGTAGCGTAATTCTTTTGAAATAAATGGTTTAGTGACCATTTATTTAAGTTGAAGGAAATTTATTAAAGGTTGAAGGAAAACATCTCTATTTGGGATTAACTAGTAAAAGACTAAGGAGAAAAACACATGACAAAAACCACTGGTTTGCAATTTTATTGGCACAGTTATTATCAGACAAATAGGGAGGGAGATCTACCAGCTTTCCATAAACCATACAAATCCCTCTAGCACCACTAACTTTACATGTGTTCAAAAGTTAGCCTCATCATATGGACTGTTGCTCACTGCCAGGCCTTCCTGATGTGCTGTTTCTTTTGCAGGTACATGTAAAGTGCATTTTCCTGATCCAAACAAGCTTCATTGTTTTCAGCTAACAGTAACCCCAGGTAACATTCTTACATACTTAAGTATTAAAGTTATTTCAAACAGCAAATTATAAAGACTGCCCAAACCTGTATTCTTTGCCTTCATTTGTCCTCTAGCTTTTAAAAAATTAACACATTAATAACAATTTCATATGAAGATAAGATACATACTTCATAGTGAATGAAATAAAGCATAGTAAAGTGAATTTGAGGCATTCAGTGTACACTCTCAATGATGTATAAATGTAACTAAAGTTAATGACAGCTGAAGCAGTTGGTGTATAGTGAAGAGTGTGGGCTTTGAAGTTGTAAGTGGGTTCCAATCCTTTTCCCCCACATAGGAATAGTGTGACCTTGGTTAAGTTGCTTGACCTTTTAGCCACAGCCTGCCTATCTACAAAGTGGGGTCAAATAGGACCTATCTCATAGGACAGTTGTGAGGATTAAACAGATAGTGTGGGTAAAGCACTTAAGCCCAGGGTCTGGCACACAGAAGCAGACAGAAAGAAGATTACCAGCTGACCTCAGAAAGACTGATAAGTGTCTAATCCCTAAGCTGCCCCAGCATGGCAACATGTTTCTTCTTGGTTAAAGTAGACAGCAAGAGGAGGACTTGTATATTTTCTAGTTACAATGCAGCTCCAATTTTGGTGGAAATATAATTGTTTGGTGGTGGAAATATAGGGTATTATTTTATTTGGGATATGGAAAGGTAGTGAGAAACTGAGAATTATTAGTCACTAGTTAATTAAAATGTGGAAATTAAATTAAAATGTGGAAAAGAATACAGGATTTTGGTAGGTGGCAATGAACCCACTAATAAGTCCTGGCCTTGTCTCTCTGTGGGTAGGATGGGCTTTTTCTGTGGAAGATGTTTGATAATAATAGCACAAGAAATCCTGGTTTCAAAATACGCTTGAAAACTTAAAAAAATTCCATTTTATCTATGTGATGGTTCTACAAGGGGCTCTGGAAGTGTAAATCAATCTGATACTGATTAAGATAAGGAGAGTACTTGGGTATAGTAGTTAATGCTAGAACATCATCATTATATATATATATATATTTTTTTTTTCTCTTCTTTCTTGTTTTTTCTGTTAGCCGTACTTTATGCCAAATAGAACACCATCATTAGAAAGCGGAGTGTTCCACATGCCTGACATCTATAGATAAATGTAGTGAAGGACTTTAAACTGTGAAATGATGAAAACTCTCACGATCCTTTGGCTGCCTTTGGCTACACATTGCATATTGTGCTGTTTTTGACGAGACGTATTGAGCACACTCTAATGCTTTCTTGGTGACTCAGGGTCACTGTTATGGACATCATTTACTATTCTGTTAAGTAATGTAGAGTATTCTCAGAAATTATTGTAGTGATTAAGATTGGTTCTCTGTTTACTAATTTCAGACTTGTGTGTTAATAGTAAAATATTTTCTTTCATCTGCCTTTCTAGGGCATTTTCAATGGCTATCAGGGATTCTGTGGCTCTGCCCATCCCAAGCATGGGCTTTGTGGTCCTTGGCCACTCAAAGATGTTTGTTGATTTTTCCAGGCTCTTTACTGTCACATGACTGGGTTTCTGGCAAGTCTAACTGCTGGATAAATGTTTCTTCCCCACCTCTCCTCCGCCTTTTTTTCTTTTTTGTTTTCTGAGACGGAGTCTCACTCTGCCACCCAGGCTGGAGTGCTGTGGCGCGATCTCAGCTCACTGCAACCTTCGCCTTCCCGGCTCAAGTGATTCTGCCTCAGCCTCCCAAGTAGCTGGGATTACAGGCATGCACCACCAGGCCCAGCTAATTTTTGTATTTTTAGTAAAGATGGAATTTCACTCTGTTGGCCAGGCTGGTCTCAAACTCCTAACCTCAGGTGATCTGTCTTCCTCAGCTTCTCAAAGTGCTGGGATTACAGGTGTGAGCCAGTGCACCCAGCCCCCCTTATTTTTTAACTGAAATTTTTTACTGAATTACATTAATGTTGTGATTATCGAGATTATATATATGATAGCATCTTTGATGTTGGTCTTATAATTGTCCTTGAAAATGGAGCATAATTGTTAATTTTTCTATTCACTGTTCCATCAGATTAAAAAGTAACTTGTGGCTGGGCACGGTGGCTAATGCCTGTAATTCCAGCACTTTGGGAGGCTCAGGTGGGTGGATCACTTGAGGTCAGGAGTTCGAGACCAGCCTGGCCAATATGGTGAAACCTTGTTTCTACTAAACATACAAAAAAATTAGCCCGGCGTGGTGGTCGCTCATGCCTGTGATCCCAGCTACTCAGGAGGCTGAGACAGGAGAATCGCTTGAACCCAGGAGGTGGAGGTTGCAGTGAGCTGAGATCAGCCCAGTGCACTCTAGCCTGGGCGACAGAGCTGTCTCAAAATAAATAAATAAATAACAAATAAAAAGTAACTTGTGTCTTGGTACCTGTAAATACTTAATGCCTGAACATTCATATTTTTAATAAGTGTACTTCAGGGACATTAACATTGAGCTGTGCACAGCATGCTTTTTAGATACTGTGTATATGCCCTATTTTGTGATGTCTGTGAGTTAGAAAGCTGTGGTGATGCCTGCTCTTTAATTATTAAGAGAAGTGTAGCCAAGATATGCCAACCCTAAAAACTTGCCACATATCATGGTTTTTAAAAAGTTTTTTGGAATCATGCTCCTCTTCATATTGAAAACAAATTACAGTGATATGTCTAAGTTGTGAAGTTTTAACAATATATGAAATAAAAATTTTGAAATGAACTTATTTGTAGCCAGTAATCCTGGGGCTAAGGCTGAAAACTCACTAGTATCTATGATCTGGGGGTTAGAATGGTCAAGAGTGGAAGAATTGCATCTGCGTTTTCAGCTCACACCTCTTTATCTAGCTCCTGTTCACACTTGCTAACATTTTCATAGTTTTGTTTGTTTTTGGAATGGTTGCTCATGCTTGGGAATAAATATACACTCTTTAGAGACAAACATGGAAATGTAATTTGGTGATGGGAAAAAGAAAGGGACCGAATTTAGAAAAAAAGTGTCCACATCATCTCACAAAACAAGAAAAAGTAGTAATAAGTGAAGTGAAACAAAACAAAAACTTAAAAGATAGCCTGAAATATCCCATGGAGTCTTCTGTGAAGTTAGTGGGACAGTTTGAAAAACTGGACCTGTTCAGTGAGTGGCCTGGCTGACATGTTGATGGAGGTCACCTTAGCCTGCCTTGCTGTGATGGTGGTGATGGTTTTAGACTGAAGGGAACATGGGTTTAAATAACAATGACAATTTTTTAAATTTAAATTTAAATTTTTTTTGTTTTTGAGAGGGAGTCTCACTCTGTTGCCCAGGCTGGAGTGCAGCGGTGCGATCTCGGCTCACTGAAAGCTCTGCCTCCTGGGTTCACGCCATTCTCCTGCCTCAGCCCCCTGAGTAACTGGGACAACAGGCGCCCGCCACCACGCCTGGCTAATTTTTTGTATTTTTAGTAGAGACAGGGTTTCACCGTGTTAGCCAGGATGGTCTCGATCTCCTGACCTTGTGATCCGCCCACCTCGGCCTCCCAAAGTACTGGGATTACAGGCGTGAGCCACCACGCCCAGCCTTAAATTTAAATTTTTAAAATCAGTTTTAGTGAAGTATAAAAGTATAAACAATAAAATGTACTAATTTGAAATGTATAGCTTACATTTGGAAAATGTATACACATATGTAACCATAACCCCAATAAATATGAAAAACATTTCCATCATTCCCAAAGTTTCCTTCTGCCTCTTTGTAGCCAGTTCCTTGCCCCCCTACACCACCATCCAAAATTACTTTCTGATTTTTGTTTCCATAGATTAGTTTTGCTTATTCTTGAATTTTTTATATGTAAATGGAATGCTATATATGTACTCTTTGTCTCTGACTTCTTTCACTTAACATAGTTTTAAATTTACACGTGTGAATCATTTTATTCCCCTTTTATGGAATTTTAATGAATATGCCATAATTTATCCTCCTAGTGATAGACATTTGAGTAGTTTCTAGTTTTTGGCTAATATTAGTAAACCAAAAGCAATGAGGTTTGACTGCTGTGAGCTTTTTTTTTTTAACAAGCTTTTCATGTTCTTTGTTTTCCTTTCTCTTTAATTCTACCCAAGAGTGGAATTTCTGAGTCATAGGAAAGATAACATGTTTAACTTTTTAAGAAACTTTCCACTGTGGTTATGCCATACCCTGACCAGCACTGTATGAGAATTTTCCATTGTTCTACATATGTATCAACATTTGGGTGTGAAGTGGTATATCATTGGGGTTTTTATTTGCATTTCCCAGTGACAGATGATGTAGAGTATCTTTTCATGTATTTACCAGCCATTTATACATCGTCCTTTCTGAAGTGCCCCAGTCTTTTGCCCTAAAAACACTTTTTATTTTATGCTGTGGTCTGAATACAAGTCCTTTGTCAGATGCACGAGCTGTGAATATTTTCTCCCATTCTGTGACTTCTCTGCTCATTTTTAAAAATGCTGTCTTTTGTTGAGGAGGAATTTTTTTTTTTTTTTTGAGACAGAGTCTTGCTCTGTCACCCAGGCTGGAGTGCAGTGGTGCAACTTCACCTGACTGAGACCTCTGCCTCCTGGATTCTAGTGATTCTCATGCCTCAGCCTCCTGAGTAGCTGGGGTTACAGGTGTGCACCACCACACCCAGCTAATTTTTGTAATTTTAGTAGAGACAGGGTTTTGCTCTGTTGGCCAGGATCGTCTCAAACTCTTGGCCTCAAGTAATCCATCCACTCTGGCCCCCAAAGTGCTGAGATTACTGGCGTGAGCCACCACATCTGGCTGAAATTTTCATTTTTATGATGTGCAGTTTATGAATTTTTTAAATAGTTTGTTCCTTTTATGTCCTGTCCAAGAAATTTTTGCTTACCCAAAGCTTATAAATATATGCTCCTATGTTTTTTTCCTAGAAGCTTTATGATTGTAGGTTTTATGTTAAGGTCCATCATCCATCTTGAGTTGATTTTTGTGTATGGAGTAAG